CCCCCGGTTCCTGGGTTGCGCTCCCTTCAATCTTGTCAGCTGTAAAATGGGTCTCTTTTTAACCTATAATGGATCTGCGAGATTAAAGGTGAAGCCATGAATTAGCGGCGGTGACAGCCCAGCACGCTGGCCCCGGCAGCGGGGGGTCTCCCTTTGTGCTCGGCCACTCTGACCCCCGGTGCCGCTCCGCGCCTGTGGGAACCGGCCCCGAAGAATGTCGGGGTGGGGCGGACGGCCGAGCTGCCCCGACCGCTGCCGCCCCGCTTTCTTCCCCCGCAAATATTCTGACATCAGCCCGCCGGGCCGCCTGGCAGGGCCGGCCTCACGCCTTTATGCCTCGTCGCCGGGGGACAAAGCGGGCTCCGGGGGGAGGGAGAAGGCAGAGGGGAGGCTTTCCCAACGCCAACTTTTTCAGGCGCCCCTAGGTATGCGGTGGCTTTTAGTGCCACGGGTGGTTTTTCACGCCAGGTGTTGGGTTGGGAGGTTTAGGTGCAGGTGCCAATGGTGGAAGAAGGTGAAGTGCAGACCCGAAACTTGAATTTTGCAAACAGAAACAAAGAGCAGCCGCACTGTTGGTCCACCACCTATTTTTTTATTATTGTTATTTTATTTTTTTCCATAGGAAGTCAAAATCCTTGTTAGAACCATAATGAAGGTACGGTGTGCTTCCAGTTCCCTCCATGAAAGGCTGTGCTAAGGAAATGTCACACACCAGGCAACACCAGAGTGAGAGAAACAGCAGTAACAGGAGCTCAGGGAGCACCTGGGAACTACATTATCCTTCTTCTTTGTGTTCTCTACTGAAATCTAGGCAGTGCTGTCTGTCTTTGGCTTATTTTCTAGGACAAGCAGTGAAACTTTTCACAGTCCTTACCAATGAATGTACTAATGAATGTGAGTCCTCATTCTAGCCATTCTAGCAAGCTGTGGTAGAAAATTTCATAGTTCTGGATGTTATTTCTCAACACTTCCAAAGCAACACTATTGCACATCTTGTTACAGCTATCCCAGCCCGTGTTGTTTCTCTGGGGGATACAGCATCAGGTTGGATATCAGGTAAAATTTCTTCTCACAAAGAGTAGCGATGCAGTGGCACAGGCTGCCCAGGGAGGTGGTGGAATCACTGTCCGTGGAAGTGTTCAAGAACTGTGTGTATGTGGCACTGAGGGACATGGTCAGTGGGCATGGTGGGAGAGTTGGACTAGATGGTCTTTTCCAACCTCAATGATTCTATGATTCTATGAAAATTTGCAGAGAAAGGATGGCCCAAGAGGAAGAATACAAAATCTTTTTAGATGCCTACATCCAAAGTAGTAAGTCCTGCACTGGAAAAATATTGCCATATGTGGAATTCTCCCATTTTGCTCTTAGAGATCTGAGGCCACTTGCTTATCTGCTCCAAAAGGAGTAGTTTGGCAAACAGCTCATCTTTTCACTTTGCTGAGTCCTGAAATTCACGTGAAAAGGATCTTGATACAATCTTGGAGTAGAAGCTAAGGGAAGTCTTCCCTAAGAGAAGCCAAGTGCTACAGCCTGCTTTGTTCCATTATATGATCCTATTTCATCTTTTCCACTGCCCACCAGCTATGACTCCGGTAGGAGTGTGAAGAGATCTCAGTGTCTGGAGGATCATAGAATCATAGGATCATAGAATGGCCTGGGTTGAAAAGGGCCACAATGATCATCCAGTTTCAACCCCCTGCTATGTGCAGGGTCACCAACCAGCAGACCAGGCTGCCCAGAGCCACATCCAGCCTGGCCTTGAATGCCTCCAGGGATGGGGCATCCACAACCTCCTTGGGCAGCCTGTTCCAGTGCATCACCACCCTCTGAATGATCCAGTGAGGATTTGGAGAAGAGCTGGGAGACAGTGACCTTGCTGTGCATTGCATCAGATGGGAAACAGCAAGTCAATACCGAAAAGTACTCTGTTCCCCTGCAACACAGACCTGGGACAATGTGAGTCTCCATGTAGGCTCATTGGCAGCAGAAGAGGATCCCATGGGGACTAATTCAGCTCCAGGCTGGGGTCATTTCCAGTCCTGTCGCTATGTGATGCTGCTTTTTGCTGAGCCCTGAACAATTTATAGCAAATAGTTTATAGCAAATAATGATACCTTTTAACTGTCACAATAGTCGTTTATTTGTGGAAGAAGGACGGCATTAAGAGTAATTTCAAATGACCAGCACTCCTTCAGGATTTCAGTATCAATCCTACAAGAATCTAGCTCTGAAAAAAGTCCTTTGTCAAGAACATCATAAGCCAAAGCTTTAATTCATATGTATGGATGTCCCTTTCTGATACTGCTCACTTAGAAAACAGCAGAATGACACATTTCAATCCCTGTCACTTGGGATGCACTGAAACATCAAGCTTTCAGATGGCTGCAACTTCTCTCATATACTACTGAAGGCAACCAAAATGTCTCCATTCGAAATATAAAACTATTTTATGACCAATCCTCTTTTAGGAAGGTTTGTCATAGAGCTAAAGTCAATTACAGCTCTGCTCTTTTTTTTTTTTTCTTTTTCTTTTTTTTTCTTTTCTCCCAGATACCAACTAAATTGTATTGTGAGAAAAGTATAAAGAATTTTTATTTCCATTAGATTTTTATTTTAATCACCTAAAAATCATTCTTATGGAAATGAGAAAGACAAAAAGATCCCTCAGGGACTGAGAAACTTCACTGATTTGCATCATTAACACTGAAAAGAACTTGTCTGGAAATGGCCCCTTCACGTTTTCTTTTATTTACATTTCCAGACAAAAATAAAATTAATTTCAACAGAAGGTTTCTTCTAGTTTCACATCCCATTTTGATTAGCCTACCTATTAAAACGTGAATATAGCTTGCTGTGCTTTGAGGGGCTGATTTTCTCTTTGTTATACTGGATTTCCCCCCCCCCCCCCCCCAAGTTTTTACCCCATTTGTAAAGGCTTTGCAACACTGGGACTCTCAGCAATCACTAATTGTATTAGCACTCATAATTAATACCAGTAACTGTTAAAACACTTTTTGAACAATTGCCATTTGCAGCACAGAACGAGAGAAAAGTGACCTTCATTTAGCCAAACTCTGTGCTTTTCGTTCAACAGGGCTGTCCAAGCATAAGCAAAAATGAAGAGACAGAGACCACTAAATCTATATTCAAATGCAGACAAATTTCTATGACAAACTAGTTCTTTCAAGGCTCAGATCGAGATTTGAGACAGTTTACCTTCTTTGTGCCTTCTAAAGAGTTTTCCGTAACAAACTTCCAGTGTCATCACTAATAGCAGCTCATGCCAAGGATTACTTTCTTAAAACTGCTACTCAAGCCTTGTGATTTGCAGTACACTTCTTATTACAGGATACATTATGCAGAAACCCTCTGCTATGTGATGGGACATGGCAACCCTGCTGTGAGAATGCCTATCAGCGCTTCTTTTAAGGCCCTTTCTCAATTGTCAGCAAAGTATTTTTTAAGGTTAAAAGGTGTAAAATTATTCTGAAATGCTTTTCTGACCTGTCGCCTATCACTGCAAAAAGCTATAGTTCATTTTTTTTTTCTAAAATTGTATTTTTTTAAATGTGATAATATTATAAGAATAAATCTAGTAAGAGAAATATGGTTTTCTATGCTTTTCATGATATTTTTGTAATTTTTCAGTACCAATTCACATTAGCATTGTGGGTCTCTTTTATTTCTGATTTTCTTCATTATAATTCTTCCTCTCCCATGAGTCAGTTACAATGTACAATTAATAAGAAACCAGCATTTTTTTTTTTCCAAGTCTTTTCATTTTATTTTTGTGGATTGTTCAAATGAATTCCTGAATCATATTCTCTAATGTAAAAGTCAAATGCAGCAGGGTCATGAAGCATAATCTCATTATTCTGGTATATAAAGCTCACAAGATCTGTCATTCTTCAAGTGCTACCTGTACTTTGATTGAAACAACATTGAATATCAGCAGGAAAACTAGAAGAAGGCTCCTATTCTCCAGACTAGTGGCTGGCTTTTGTAGCTTTGCAAGCTGCTTAACTCTCGATTTCCCAGGCTACGTAAACCATTTGAGGTCAATGATCCTATAGTTTTAAATCCTGTGCACAAGAGGTTACCATCTCCCATTTTCTGTAGCTTAGAATTTCCAATTGCAGCTGTTTATACACCAGCGCAGTGCTGGGAGACATCTGAAATCACTTTATACTGAATCTCATGGTCTGTATTTTAGCATGGTTTTATCCACGTGTACTGGAGAACTCAGCCTTGTAGTTGTGTCAGACATGGAGGGACTCAATGACCCCCCCGGTATGTGATTATATGCACACAGCAATGTGTGCTGCAGCTGATGCCAGGGAGAGTACAAATGGATGGCGAAGAGGAAAAAGATGCTGTGCTACCTTTATTCATTGAGCTGTGTGACCTGTACCAAACGAACAAGATGTTTATGCCCAGGACCATGACACAGGTATAAAATGGGGCAAAAATCTAAAATGGCATCATTGTTTTTCACTCAAATTCTTGTGGGGATTTATATCAGTCTTCTCTAACACAGACTGATCTACTTCTCTTGCAAAAAAAGCTATCAGTGGCATCATTAGGGCTTTATTCCTGCACCTCTCAGTGCTTTTGGTAATGAGAAGTTCTCCCCACTCAGATGTGCAGGTTTAGTTCCTTCTGTCTGCTGGCATTATTCAGAGAGAAGGCAATGACACAGTCTGCTTCACACTGATTTTGCTACATATCCACTTTATTAGCTTTGCTTGCTTATTTTGGGAGTCAAGACCTGGCCCAGCACCTCTCAGAGCATGGGAGATTGTGCTCAGGTCACATGCTCCAGCTGGTACCTCAGCCCTTGCCCTTGTGTAGCTGCAGGATAGGAGCAAGCCTTAGCTTCACTCAGCTCTGTGTGCCAGGAAAAAGTATCCAGACCCTGGACATGAGGACAGAAAGTGAACCTTCATATCACCACACCAGAAAGGGATTCCACACACAGCGTCTTCCGAGGATGACGACCACCTGAACAGCAGTGACCCTCTAGCACCTAGAGATGCCTCCAGAACATGCATCCTAACCCCACTCCTCTGGTCGTTCGTGTTCAGTTATGCAAAATGGAGTGATTCTTCTAGACAGTAGACCAGGACATTTCTAAAACTACTCCCAGAGATTTTGAGCTCTAGTAATTAGAAGATTATTACAAGCACAGAGTGCAAGCAAGGTCATTGTTGGCTACAACAAATCACTAAAATCTTGATAGTGGACAATTCTAGATGAGATTGTTACAAACATTATTAAGTTAGATCCTAATAACCAAACTCCTTGCTTTTCAAAATACATTTTTACAAAGTACAAATATAAAGCCATCAAACTGAATGCCTGGTCTTTATTCCTTGCCAGTCTTCCTGCAACTATTCTGAATGCTATCTAACAATACTTGTGTTCTCAAAACCGCACTTCTTCCATAAGGGGCTTCAAGGAGTTGATGAAGTGACATCTGCCTTTGGCTCTCTCTAGATGCTGTGTCTTTGAAGAAGTCTATTTTTTGTTCACTCTCTGCATTGTTAGGCATGTCCAGAATCCCAAGCATACTCCATACATTAAGAAATCAGTTTACTGCCTAAGCATATAAGCTAATCCCCTCAAGTTTCATCTTTTCAGAAATTTAGCCATGTGCTTAACAGTAAATATGTCAGTAGTCCCTTGCTTACTCTCAAGTGTTACTTTAAATGTATATATAAGCTGTGTGTGGTTATTGTCCTAGCTTAGCTTCAACAAGAAGAGGTTATAAAGTCACTTCGGAAACATGAAAAAGAAAAAAAAAAAGGAATAGACAATGTAATGCTATCCAGTTCTCTGTGACTAGACAATTACAGTAAAAATCACTTGAACCTTGCCAGACTGACTTCCCAGGGATCTCAGTTGGGATTCATGTTTTAGCATTTTAAATTCAGATGTCTTGTTCTGAAGCCGGGGTTCCTTTATCTCATTGGAAAGAAACATGCATCTTCAGAGGCACTTCATCTCACCCTAAGGCAGGCATCTAAGACCCTAACAAACACAGTTCTCTTGTGTCACCAGGAAAAATTCACAGGACTCCAAGTGCTTGGGAAATGCTTACAGAGAGCAGCTACTGAAGTTCCACATTGAATTCCTTCTACATCCAAACTTCAGCTGAGACCAGGGTTATTGTCATGATGATGTTGTGTTATGACGAGCCTTCATAACCCTTCTCTTGCAGTCAGGTATTGAAATCGCCACTATGGAGACAAAGTGTAAGAAAATTAGAATGGGCAGTCCTCAGGAAACCAAGGATTTGTGTTTTTACATCATTTCAGTGCCATTAGCCAAACATCCACATAAGAAAGTCTCTATTTAAAGTAGGTGCTACTTTGAGAATTCCTGTGTGAAAGGCAGTCAGTTAAGTCATCGGGTACATTGAATCAACAAGCAGAGTAGAGTTTCGTAATGGACTGTAATGGAAATCTACTGGTGAGCTCTACTACCTGCCAAAGATACTAGGTTAACTTTGCAGGACACTTGGAAAAAAGCGTCGCTTTTACTGTTTGTTGTATTCAGTCTAACTGAGGCATTGAGCACATGAGCTTGGCCATTCCTTTGGATTGCAATGGAGAGAGATTCCTGTTCTAGGAATCCTTGTCCAAAACAGGGTTTTGGTAGTGGACAGATGAAGCATATCTTTGAGTGCTTACAGGTTTGGGCAGGTGTCAGGAAATAAGAAAGTCAGCCACAAGACACATTCAGTGGCAATGTGCCCAAGATGGACATACACAACTATTTATTTATTTGTTTATTTATACAGGTGTAAATTAAATGAGGAGTAAGGAGTAAACAAGTCAGCTTTAATAATCAGAGAATCTCTGGAGTTTAAAAAAAAAAAAAAAAAAAAGTAGCAGCAATGCAGCAACATTATGCACAGGTTTTTATTTCCGGATTTTATAATACAAAATATCATATATTTTTCTTAGTAAAAGAGATTGCTTCCAATCTGTGCTTTTTCATTGATATTCACTTACTTTGATACATTCTTTTCACCTCCTGAATATAGTAAATTGTTTTCCAAGTATTGTCTGAAAAAAACCAATTTTTATGTGCCTTTTATTCCCTTTTTTTTTTTTTTGTGGATATTCATACTTTTCAAAAGAAACACATATTGCTGTAAATCTAATAATTTTTATTATTATTATTATTTTTTATTTTAGCATGCTGCACTGGTTAGTCATCAAAACAAAAGCAGCAACTTCTTTAGATGTGTTCTGAAAAAGTTAAGCTAGAGTAGAATATAAGAGGACACAAATGTTTTGGCTTGCTTTTAAAATCCCAGTGGGTTTTCATATATGTACGTATGCCTATAAACATACAGATACACATATAAAACACAAAGGAATCAGATGAGGTAACAGCACCCCCTTCTGAGAGTTAGGACCAGAACTTATACCCTCACTTTAAACTGAACGAGGACACTTTTCCACTTTTCACCACAGTGCTTCATCTTTTCTATGTGCAGCAGCTACTTCATGTTTTTTCCTGCTGTACTGAAATAGGGAGATGCATGCACCATTAACCTGGGATTTATCCATTCTTCCCTGTAACATTGCAAGGACTGCTTAGTTACAGGCAGAAATTACAATTTGGAGCTGGGAAGTCCACGCAAAATTCTTTTGTTCAACACACCTATTGAATGAGTTCATGCATTTGTTTTTTGTATGTGAAAGACTTTTATTTGCCTTTTACAGTCCAGGTATGGTGGAGAAAGGTGTGAAGGGCAGAGATAACTCAGCAGAATTATCATGCAATTCTTCATCAGGTTAGCTGTCTGAGAGGATGGAGCCTCGTGTGTTTTGAATGGGGCCTCCTCTTCCCCTTCCTCATCAGCTCTGCTAACTCTTGTCTGTGGGCAGGGCAGGGAAGGACCAAGCTCCCATCTTCCTCTTGCATCAGCTCAATAAATAGTTTATGCAGCCTCTAGTGGGATTATACTCAGCGCCATTCAGCATCAGAAGAGCTGCAGAAGGACTCCTTCTGAGTCTCCCTTACTGCATACCTAGCATCAGCAAACATCAGCTGTCTCTCCTTTGGTCTGGCAGCACAGTTGACCCACCTATTTCCAAGCTCTAAAAGATAAAAACAGACAAAATGGATTCCCGCCTCTTCTATCCTTTCTCAGTGCCATATTTCCCTTCATGTAGTTTCATTTCAATGAGAATGAGAAGGTGCTTCCCTCACTTGCTGAAGATAAGATGGGCTCAGCAGAGCACAGTGTGGGCAGAGCTCTTGTAACGCAATGAAAAGCATCTCTGTGAATGGCTTCATCTGATCAAACAAAGCTGTAGGGGCTTCGGAACCATCTGGACAGTCCCCAGCTCACCAATACAGGGCCAAAATAAATCATAGCAAATAACAAGAATCGTGTCACAAAGACCTCACAGAATTAGCCTGAGAAATATAGCAAGAGTCAAGAACGAAAGGGAGAATATGAAGAGTACTTCTCAAATTCCCATCTCTTGCTGTAAACAGATCTGTGATATTTCTCAGCACATGCACTGTATAAATAGTAGCTTGCATACATGTTGCTGCAAAAAAAAAAACATCTGTAGAGTCTGCAACAAAGCAACCAAAGAAACATCAGAACAGTATTGACTCTTTTTAAAACCGTAATAGAAAGAAAAGCGTTTAATGAAGGGTGCTAGACTCTAATGAAAATAGTGAAGGAACTCTGCAGCTTAAAGCACTGAAATCCACATGAGGTTGAGCTATGTATAATTTGCCATGACAAATCTGTGCTCTAGCAGAAAGAGTCACAGCATGTGCAGAAAAAAAGTAGCATGAGCATAAGATAAGATAGACACCATTTCCTATTTGTGGTCCCAGAAAAAGAAAACAACAACAACAAAAAAACCAGCCAAACAAATAGAAACAAAAGCCAGTAATACTGAAAGGGAAAGAAGCTCTCCTAGGATGTTTATAAAGGGATACACATAGGAGTCAGTACAACAATAACATCGTATAATGAGGAAGATATTACATCTGATAAACTAAGTAAGTCCGTGAGATAGTGCTGAATCTGAAGAATGAGCTTTCAAAACAGCTTTTTGCAGCCCAAAACCTGTAGCAAGCAAGATGCTGAGGTGTGCATGAAGAATGTTGCTGTGACAAGGACTTATGAACTAATTACAGTGCGTATACATAGAAACACCTGAAGCCCAAATTACAGTGGTTCTTGTTTTTTTGCTTAGTGCTGTTACACAGAGGGCTTCTGTTTATGATTAAGAGCTACATCTACACGCAGAGAAAATGCAAAACTTAACCGATTTGGGGCAATTAGTTCAAAGAGTGCCTGCATATTTGGGATCTCTCAGTTCAAGCGCAGCAAATGTGCATGCTAAGGCTTAAATTCCCACAGATACAAACACACAGATCACAATATTCATCAATTCATGCAAAAAATACAGTACAAAAACACTAATGTACAAGCAAATCTATTTTATTACAGAGTTCATTAGGACTAGTTGCTGTTAAATGGGATTTCTGCCACAAACAAATAATCATATCTTTGATAGTCCTTTGTTAATTTAGCAGCAATCTATTTCATCAAAGAGGGGCTATACTTCCAGAAAGTCCTCTGACAAAGCAAATACAGGAAAATATTAACATTCCAATCATAAATTTAAATGAACATTCTGTTCACACTTAGCAATCTCAATAGACCAAATAATATTAGATTTTGGAATGAGTTGAGGAGAAATAAATGCTAAATAAAGCCAAGGAATGACCAAGATGATAAAGTGCCTTACAAACAGTACACAAATGATCAGAGGGACTGAAAGGCCAACACAAATCTGTCAGCCTTTTGGGTGGCTGTGGTGGCAGTGGTGGCACAACAAAGATATCTTCACAACACATTCAGTCTGAGTGGCTGCAAACTGCAGGTAGAAACAGGCAATGGTTGGCACAGACAAAAGCAGTCAGAATCGTGTACTCATTAAGGTTGGAAGAGACTACTAAGATCACCTTGTCTAACCATCAACCCATCAAACTAGGTGTGGCAGCTTAGCAAGCCAGTGTATCTCAGCAGTCACAGCAGCCCAAACCATGGAGAAATGCTCCAGCATTTCCAGAAGGAGAGGGATGTTCCATGCAGGATGATGTTGCTAAGCAAGAGCCTGAGCTCACATGTTCAGGAGGGCATCCAAGGAACAAATGCAGGAGATCAGACCCTCAGCACTGCCTTCTCTATACTTCCAGGTGAATGAAAGATACAGTACAACCACTGTGTCTCAGAAGCATCTTGCTGGATGGGCACAAAGGGAGCCAAGCCCCCTTTGGCCAGAAGGGAAGAAAGACCCTGTCTGCCATGGGATGTATTCTTGAATCAAGGCTCACTGGGGCATGAAGTTCCTCCTAGACCTGATGCTCTACTATCACACCACACTGAGTAGATCCAGTGCTTCTTGATAACCAGTGCACAAAGGTGGCATTGGATGGAGGGACACCATTGTCTCTTGCTTGCTCCAACCCCTGCTCAGCACATTGGTGGGCCACATTGCTAGGAGAAACTACAGCAGGACGAAAGGATCAATGTTGGAAGAATTACAGGGTATGGGCAAGGAGAGTTGGAGGCCTGTGTGCAAAGAGAAGGAAAGGAAAATCAGGCAGGATGAGTGTCTGAGTAAGGATGATTATTAAAGGTAATGCCTTTCTGTGCTCGTGCTTTTCCAGTTACACGGCCAAAAGCAAGAAGTGCTGCTTTTAATATCATTCATGATGAAATTCAGAAAGGAAACAGGAAGGAGATTCAAAGGTAGTGGTTCACAAGCTCCCACTCCTGGGCGGATGGGCCAATAATTTTCAAGCTGTGGTCCATTGTCACTTGTACTGCAGGACTGTGTTTACCCTGTGACTTAGTGCCAGCAGTACCGCTGGATAAGGCCTTTCAGCAGATCAGCGTCAAATCCTATTTTCAAAGATTTAAAACAAAAATAATAGCAGCAACAAAGGCCTCATTAAAAAAATTAGCTCTGAACAAAACTTTGGCAAGATACTCTGTGTCTTGGGCAATTCCCCCCACCCACTTTTAAATGAGCATGGATTTGTGGTTTATGAGATGTCTAATTGGTGTGGATTTTGTAGGCATTGTGAGATGGATACAGTTTCAAACTTTCCCAGTTGTTTTTTGGGTAAGAAAATACATCATGAGGGAGAACAAAGAAGGCCCACGTAAGGGAAACAATGACATTCAAGTTGGGTAAGAGGAAGATTAAAAATTACCAGTGTTTTATAATATGCAGACTCCACCTTTTTGGTGTGTTTTGAAACAAGCATGACGGGGGCACACATGTGGCCATGGAGCTTGGCAATCTCAGCACAGCGCCTGTGCTGAGACAAGAAGCCTCTGCTCCTGCGCTGCTGCAGTGATAAGATCTGTCATTTGTCCAGGAGTTTCTCTTCTCATGAGTAGAAAAGCATGCTTCAAAAATTTAGAGAGATTGAAAATTCCTGGTCATTCTGAACAACCAAAGAATAGTGCACGCTCCAGGACAACCCAGACAGAAAACTCCTGCTCCGATGTCTGACTGTGAAGCTAGAACAGACAGCTTACACAGCTGTCTTACAGGCAAAGTGGTAAATGCCTATTTCCTTGTCTGACATTCTGCCCTATAACCAGTTTACCAGTCTTTTTGTTTCACTCTGCCACACTCAGTGCTTTTGTCTTGTCCTTCCTATCTAACCCTGTGCCATTCTCTTTACACTGCCTCTTGTTACTTCGACTCCACTGATCCCATCCCCTCTCTGGCTGGACTGCAGCCTCAGTTTGAGCTCCTGAGTTGATTCATAAGGTTCATGTTTTCTTCTCTTTCAAAACCCTTCTGAAGCTTCTCTCTGCCACAGCAGTCATGAGAAATGAACAGGTGATTAATGGTAGAGATAACACTTGAGGAAGATAGACTAAAACTAGACAAATAAAAACATGTAGGAAGGCACATTACTGGTTTCTGTCTCCCACATCCACCACTCAGGTCTCAGAGCAGCATTTTCAGAGAAAATATAATATTTAATTAGTTTGACATTGCCCTGGCAAGTGCAGTATAACAAATACATAAATAAAGACCACTTCAATGACCCAATGAATGGCCCAGTTGGCTACAGAGGAACTCATAGTCCCACTGGGTGATGCTGAAAGGTTTTTTAAGACCAAGCACAATCAAGGACCAAATAACTCACCTCTTCTGGAATGGCAGCAGCAGTATCCCCAAACACCAATTCACATCAGAGAGAGGAGCATCCAGGCAAGAGCAGACATTATTTCTTCCGATCCAGATGTACACCAAGAAAAACATTAGACCCCATGAGTCCCTTCAGAGAGCTAAGGAAATCTGACTTCCAGCAAACCACCACGTACCAAAAGCCTCTAGAATTAAGAGCTGCAACACAAAGACAGCAACAATTGATTTTCTATTTCTGTGATTTACAGCTACATTCAGATAAGCTGGATGCGTGCTGGGGTAGCAGAGCACATGCAAGTACCACGGTACAGAAATATTCTGCTAGAACATTTTCTCTAAGAGACAAAAGTCGAGGAGTAAAATCACATATTTTTGCCCCACTGCTGCTTCATTTGCCTTCCTTGCTTCAGAAGCCTTTGCCTTTTCCAAGGTCTCTCCTTAAACAAGAAGCAAAATATGTATATGAGGGATGCACATCCAAGAACTGTGAAAATGTGATGCACATCCAAGATCTAAGAAAAATCTTAGAACAATGTTTGTCCCTCCCTCACAGTACCATGAATTCAGTAGGTACATGAGCTCTGTTCTCTCTGGATGGAGTAGGCACACTTCTGAGCCAGCATTTCTTGCCTGAAGCAGCAGTCACTTGGTTATTTGTCCAGCCAACATCCTTTTGTTGATCCATGAAGTTCTGGCACTGCAGATGTGATAAGAATAAAAACATTTAGGCAATTGGTTAATCTAACAAATATGTTAAATATAACGAGACAATGAGATCAAATGCCCACTGCTTTCATTTACACCAGACATAAATCTCAGAGAAAATTGCACAGATGCAATCAGAGTTGAACACGAGAAGTGTTTGGCACATTTGAGCTCTGCTACCCTGAAGATAAGACTTGAAAAAAGGACAGACTGCCTATCAATACCTTCACAGAGCACACCCTTTTGAGCTCTGTAAATACATTACATTCTCCCCACAGTACTTTTTTCTTTTTTCTTTTTTTTTGCAGGGTTGTCTTTGAACATACATGCCCTCATTTCAAACTCAAGACTTTTAAAGCATCCTTCCGATACCTTTCCCCATTTTCGAATTATTAGTAAGCTACTTAATTGTACCAAACATTTACTAACTTTAGTCAAAAGCCTCTGCCAATGCACAAACCTATTTTTGAAATAAGTACTTTTAACAATAAAATATTTTTATAAGTTGTCAGTTGTTTGCAGGTGGCCCTCATGAGCAGGTCTTATTAATGAAAGGTGAGAAGGAACTTCCTGGAGGAGGCAGCTCTGAGAATTGCAAATAAAGTAAACCTGTGTTGCGCTTTAATGGCTGAGTGTTGTCTCCAGATTCACACGACGACTCATTAGGGAATGTCTCAGCTTTCCAGACAATTTGTTTAATTAGAAACTCTCCTAACTTTTATAGGGATTATTTTTAAATCACTTATGAGAATGGGCCTTATTTTTCACCTTTTGTTTTTAAGTTCCTCTCATAGCAAATCATTTTTCAACCTCTAACATTAAGCAAATATGTTCTTCTCTCACTCAAGATAAGAGATTTTTTGTGTAAACAAGCTAATTTAGCTTTTTTTTTTTTTTTTTTTTAATGCACTGTAGGTGCATATTTGCCTCCCATGTAGGCAAATTCCTATTCAGAATTAAAGTTGCCCTGATTTGAAACACTTTTCAATCATCACAGCATCAAATATGTGAAACCAAGAATCAAGCCTATGTTAAGTTTGAATGAGAGTGTCCACATACAATTTTAACGTAATTTAGTTGATGTGAACATCTCACTATCCACAAGCTTCACCGATGGGCTACACACAAATTTATGAGATGACTCTTATTTCACAGCCTTTGCCACCAGAAACCCTCAAAATATTACCTAAAAGCTGATCACCATAACTGTGAAGCTCCCCAAAGTGTGATTCACAGTGCAAGTAGTTTCCACACAATTCAAACCACTTACATTTGGCATTATATTGGTGGGCCCAAAGTTAGTGTGAGTGACAAACCCAAAACACAACACAGAATTAAAAGTATCATCACAGAATCTTATCACAGAATGACTCAGGTTGGAAGGGACCTCAAGGACCATCCAGTCCCAACCTCCCTGCTGTAAGCGTAGGCAGGGCTGCCCCCCACCAGCTCAGCTGCCCAGAGCCCCATTCAACCTGGCCTTGAGCATCTCCAGGGGTAGGGCATCCACACCTTCTCTGGGCAGCCTGTGCCAGCATCTCATTGCCCTCACACAGGCATACCTATGTTGGTACATTCAGCCATACTGAAGGCTACAAAGCTGTCTGGTGGAATATATCAGTTTGCTAGAATGCCACACTCACTTAAGCACTGCCCTTCAATTTAATATGTCTGAGGTTTGCAAGGCCAGCAGGAATGAAGGCAAATGTATTTAAGAGGATTTCAGCCTGCCCTCACAATATGCTTTCTCTGAAGTTTTGCCAGGTTTAGAAAGCTAGTGAAAGGGTTCAAAACTTGGGGAAAACAGTTCTGAATAAAAATAAATAAGCCTGAGTCTTCTGGGGGGAGGGAGGGGGGTGTAACTGGAAAAGAAATTACAGCCTGTTAATGTTTTTCCATCAAATTTCAAACTTGGAATAAAATGGCAGCTGCCCCAACCCATGGATACAATCACTTTGAAATCTCTGAGCAATATCACAAGTGTGAGACTGTATGTATACATAGCATGCAGAATGACACACTAGCTCTGCAAGCAAACACGAGCACTGAAGTTCACACAAGACTTAAATACATGGAAAGCAGAGCAGCTGGGAAGATTCCAAACACCACGTCTTAGTTACTTAATCACCCTGCAAACACATTTCAGATGACTCTGTTTTTATTTGTTTCATGTTAAAATGCAAATCACATACCCTAGTTGTAATGAAACAATAAAATAGAAAATAATTTTTGGCAAAAAGATCTTCTAAATAGATTTTTTTTCCCCCTCAAATTGGCTTGTCAGATACATCCTCTGCTCAGTTTTAGTTCCTTCTCTACATTGCAGTTCTTTTGGTAGGACGCCAAAGCCTGTCAATTAACAGTAAGCCTATCCCTTATGAACAGAAGCAGGGACTGTGATCATGTTCAACTAAGATCAAGGATTAGTAAATCAGCATGGCACCAGATTGCAGACACTATTTAAACCCCACAGGCCTGCAAGCCAATGCAGCAATATTATATTCCAGCTGGATGTTGAGAACAGAATCGCACAGTTACAGGGGAACTCAGTTTTTACCTTTCCTGTGCAGGCAATTACAAGTCTACTGAAAATGAGTGCTGATTAAATCATGTTGGCTTTCTCAAATGCCAGTTAGGAAACATCCACATGCTGCCTCTGCGGGTATCTTATCAAGAACTTTCTATCAAATTAAACATATTTCATTACACCCACAATAAATTATTTGAGACTGGATTTTTTACAAGCACACCAAACGTGCACCAGAGCTGTCACAGAGGTTTCTTCTTAGAGCTTAAAGCGCTGTATTGCTCTCTCAGCCCTTTCATGGCACATGGGGTTGTTTCAAGGTTATTTCTGCCATTTGCTGCAGAATCAGGCACAAGGCACACAGTGAAACATTTTGTTGGCTTAATAAACAGCCTGACCTTCGGGCTTGATTTTCCTTGCCAGGAAATGGCCACCTCCGCAGTATGCATCCCATCTTTGCTATAAGCTTTCCTTCCCCCAATGAAGGATTTTTTCCCCCTTTTATTTATTTATTTCTTTATTTTCCTTGAGAAAGGGTTAGATGTCTTTTATCCCAGATCAAATGACAAGGGAAGGATCTGAGATGTTTACTGCCAGGTAAAGCACAAAGTCATGGGTGTCCAGGGGGACCTCATTCCACAACCCTAATACCAGGCTGAAAACAAATGATATTATCAGAAAATGATCACAGAAAGCAAGCCTTGCTCAAAGAGAAACAGCCTTTATTAACCTCTCTTTGAAATAACCTGAAAGCAAAGTCAAAGCACAATGAGGAAGGGTTACCTGTCCCCCTGTTGCTGCACCCACCAACTGTGTTTAGTGGGAACAACGTGCCATGCACTGCTAAACTGCTCGTGTTAACACAGTGATAGGGCTGTAACTAGAGAAGGCTCTTGGGTTTTTAGTGGAGGTTTTGCTTTAAAACTGTGCAGTAATTTTCTACAACAGTAAAGTAAAACTGGAAGAAAAGATGGTGCTGTGATTTTCAGTCCTGAAATCTGTATCTTCTTTTTCCAGGTCAAGAATGGATGAAGAGGGAGAGAGGAAACCTCTGAGGGGTCCTGACCACTGCTAAAACAATGCCTTGGGAGCTGCCTGCAGCCCAGCAGGGCCTTATGGCACTGCTTGACCAGCTGTCACTTGAGATCAGCAGTGGACCACAGGAGAAGGGATGTGCATCCAGGTGTAGTGTGTACGCTTGTGCTTTTGTGTAGGAATCACTCCCCCTAACTTGAGCAATCTGTTATATAAATATGTGCTTCTGAGCTGGTCACTGTCTGCTTTTGTGATCAAGAAGGAGAAGAAAGCATCTTAAAGTTATGAATCATACCACCTAAAGTAGGCTGATAAAATAGGGTCGTATTCTCCTCCAGCTATAAAGAGAACCAAGGGAGACATTGTCCACACATAAGGACAATTTATACTGTCTAAACTTTGCTGAATATCTGGAGATTACAGGGATGGAAATGTTCAAATGCCAATGTCCTGTTAATAAAAACAATTAATCTGAGGCTCCAAATAATATTCATTTAATGTCATTTTCTCACTTCCACGTTGCACACAAGCCCTGAAACAAAGGATGGAGACTGCAGATATCTGTGTAATCCTGAGAGATGCATTAACTGGTTCTTTTTGATCTCTTTCACAAGTATCATACCAAAATCAGTTTCTTAGCAAATTGTATATTTTCTTCCATCAGAGCCGGGGGATTTAGCAATGGCTCTTACTCAGGACTTTCACAGGTAACATGGATATTAGGAAGGATGTTTTGTGTTTGTGATCTTTTTGCACATTTGTAGTTGTGTGTAAAGGAATTTATTTTCTTTTCAATTAGATCTGCAGGAAAAGCAGTAAATGACTTAATCTCTTTACTGAGAGCATCTTAAAAAATGCTGCAGGAGATTTCTAGTGTTAGACTCATTGAAAACTCCATGCACTGTTTTTCTAGCCTACAAAGAGACTAGCTTCTCATCCAAATGTTGCAGGCACAAGCTCATGACTTACAAACACAACCCTTAGCATAACTTTATAAACAAGCACCTAGGAACAACTAACACATTCTTGAGTACTTTAAAAAGTTTTTTTTAATAAAAATTCTGTCCCGTATCTTCCAGTACTGAAAGATTATCTTGGAAGAAAATCTTTCTTAAAATCAGGATTTTTAAATGCATTAACACCTGATATTTATTGAAGAGATAATAATTGCCATGCAAATGAATTATCTCTAGTGATACTGTCAGTTTTGCCTCTTTAATTTGGACCTGCAAGAAAAGACAGTTTGTTTCATTTGATGTTTTTGCTATACAATTGTTTGGATGGACAGACATTATTGGCTTGCTTGGTGTCTGATGGTCTCTGAACAGCTAAGTAAGAAAAAAGAAGTGAACAGGCTGCAGAAGTTCTGATTGTAAAACAATTGCTCTTTGGAAATGTTACCATGCCAAGTGAAAATTCAAGAACTGAAT